ATTAAAGTGAAAACTTCTTTAGAATAGGGAGTGATATGAAAAAATCATGTTTGCAGATAACACGTGTTAGAAGTGAAACGCTCTTAAAACCAAGCTACGAGAGAGTGAGTCGAAAAAAGACTATCAAGAATTAGATAATTGTAGAATTTATTTATTATAATATTCTTACTATATATAATATTTAAATAAATATATTAATTACACTGAATGAAAACTTAGTATCGAAAACTGAAAGTTCACTTGGTAGCTAACACAGACTTATCAACTAAAAAAACAGCCTTACTAGCTAAAACATAAAGAACGGATGAAAGTAAATTATGTATCACAATAATGATTTTAGTTTCTTCCTAATCTTACAATATAAAATTACTATAATAAAAGTGAAATAAAAAGAATCATGTTCTCTTGTTCAAATAATTAATTCACTCCCTCAACAAGAAAACGTACGACATTACAAACATCAACGAAAAACCGTAAGAACATATATAAGTTACAATTAGGTATCCTAAATCAGAAAGTCCCTAAAAAAAGAAAACAAAACAATATAATGATATTTACCTAAATTTCATATTAATCTATCGATATAATCAAACAAAATASAATAATACATACATTTGCTAGAGCATTAAATTGCAGGGAAGACTTACTTCAAAGGTTAAAAGAAATTATAAGAATTGGATTTAAAAGATAGACTGAATAAGTTAATCTACTAAATGGTATCCAACTTTTCCACGAAAGAATACGATTCACTATACCTAAAATATAAAATTTTTTAATCAATAACGATTAGAAAGTAAAGTACGATCCGAAAGGATCATACAGTAATTAGCGGTATTCGAAATTCGCGCGCGTCCGCCTCCATCGATTAGGATTCTAGATCGATACTCATTGTGAGCATCGATCAACTACCAGTAACTATCGAAGCGCTCCTCTAGTTACCCCCACCTCTCGCATCCCCACTTCTCAGTCCCCTAGTACATACCTGTGCTGCCAGATCGTGGGTAAATCTTACCCTCTCCCTGTGCCACTGGGATTGCACACAATGAAAGTTTTCCATGTCCGTGTATTTGGGATGTCGAGGAAAGCCGAGTGTAACCGAAGTTGGCGGGCACGCTGGAGTGGCACACTATGAAAGCGACTCGTGTCCATGTATTCGGACACTCGTGTTTCGACACGAAGTGGTTTATCATTTTGAAAAAATTAATTTTTTTTTTGCATTTTTCGAAAGTAGACTTATGTAGAATTATCATACAAAAATTTTAGAACGATCCGAGCAGTCTAAGTATATTATTTTGCGACCCAAACACATAGAGATATTACAGATAGAGGAGACAAACCATCTGCGATGGTGTAAGTGGAAATGTCTCTGCATGAATATAGCAGCAAAAAACAAAAGGTTGATATTGACCTGACAAAAACAGAATTACTTGAAAGATGTTTAGGTGGCCACATATTTAAAATAATAATGAGTGCTTCAACAAATGCGTTTGGTCTATGGTGCCTAAACACCTATTTAATGGTAAAGAAATTGTTGAAATAGCTTTTAAATTGGCAGCTTGTATATTCAACGAAGGTTTTGATCCAATACTGAAAATAATGCACTTTTTCGGGATAAGACTTGGCCCTATCGCAGTTAATTACGCTAGTAACCGCGACAACACGCGTGTGCGCTCAGCCAATCGTTTGAGCGGAGAATCTTTAAAAGAGGCCAGGACACAACGAAAAAAGGCTAGAGTGGAAGATAATGAGTATTTTGAAGAAGCAGAAGGCATACTGTATGGTGCAGACATCGCAGAATAAGGTAAAGTCAGACTTTTTAAAAATTTGTTAAAAGAAACTTTAAACGCGTTTTTCTCGAAACAACGTTTTTTCGGTTGGCGGGCATGATATCTCCGAAACTACTCAACCGATCCTTCTGAAATTTTAACCACATACTCTACACATGAATGGCTATCTCGCATGCTATAACAAAGTCAAAATATTAATTTTTACTACTTCTTTTTTTTACAAAAAACTGCGAAAAAAATCAACGAGTTTTTCTTTTTCGAAAAATGGCCGTCATTTTGTTTTGTTTTCATAAAAATTGATAGTTTTAGCATACCTGATAGCCATTGTCATACTGAATTTAAAACCGTTTAATTTTGTTGTTTTAGATCGCCTGTTCTCAAATTTCGATGCCCGCCAACAGCATACCTATTTTAGAAGGGTTCACGTTTGTCAGCCAATTTTGGATGTCAAAAAACGTTAAAAACAATAAAAAAAATTTTTTTCTTGTACTTCTAGAGTGTATTTATCATACCYAAMMACTTTCATATGTWTATGTATYCTACAAAGCCTAAAAAAAAATCGTGAAAATAACCTTTTTTCGGCGTAAAAACCAGAATGAACCCTTAAAAGATTGGAAAAGATAAAAAAGAAAAACCTTTTTTGGGTCACCAAAAACACGTTTCCCGACGATATCTGAAAAATTAGAAACCGTTCGTCGTGTTAATCCCTATCATAAACCCCCTCACACGAGTCGCTTTCATAGTGTGCCACTCCGGCGTGCCCGCCAACTTCGGTTACACTCGACTTCTTTCGATATCCCGAACACACGACATGGATAACTTTCATTGTGTGCAATCCCAGTGGCACAGGGAGAGGGTAAGATTTACCCACGATCTGACAGCACAGGTGCATACGCCCTGCTGGGCCAGTACAAAGAGACAATTCAGTGCTGTCAGATCGTGGGTAAATCTTACCCTCTCCSTGTGCCACTGGGATTGCACACAATGAAAGTTTTCCATGTCCGTGTGTTTGGGATGTCGANGGTGTGTGTGCTTATATACGCACACGTAATAAATCATAGTACTTTAGCATAACAAAAAATAAATTACTCCAATAATTTATTCCTTCGTGCTAACACTCTATAATTATAGACAATAAGATAAAATAATAAAAAAAAGATATTAATTATATTTAATAAAGTTTTAATTTATAAGTATATTCTAATTTAAATAACGTTCATTTATACATCATTAAAAAAATTATACTTATATAATTAAAATAATATAAAAAATTTTACGATTTCATAGGATTTAGCTGTGCCCTGCCAAGCGTTGCTGTGGCCCAAGGTCAGTATGATTAAATTGAAAAGAAAAAATATTACATGTGTAGATCACACAAATTATAAGTGAAACCTACATAAAAGCAAGTTTCGAGAGTATCAGACGAGTGCGTAGTATCACGAAAAAAATAATTTATTATATAATATTGTTATTATATTATTTTTCTATATTTCTACAGTAAGTTATAGTATTTTTATTACAAATATAATAGCAAGTATAATTTGTTTTTGTAAAGAACGTGTCATTTTTCTTCTATTTAAAAATTTTTTCATTTTATTATAAAATTCGTATAAGATTCTTAATTACGCAAATATTATAATTAGGAAAATAATTTATTTATATGGCTTGTGGTCGATACATATATTCTGATATTTAATAGAAAAAAATATAAAAAATAAATTCAATGAACGTATTAAATGTCTTATGAATCAAGTACATTTTATAAGAAAACAAAAAAAAGTAACAATGAATTATTTGCTTTTGAATAGAGTTTTTCAGCTGCTTCTAATGTATTCTACAGATTTGTCTAATTCTTTTCTTCGAATGTATCTGGTAATTCTTTTTTTTTGTAAAATATTGCAGACAATACAATTATTATATTCTATATAATTCATAATTACTAATTATAATATTTGCATAGTAAAGAATTTTATACCAATTTTTCAATAAAATRGAAACACTTAAACATAGAAGAAATATTACCCACTGAGAAGACCGTGATGAAGATTGGAGGAAAATATTATTAAGGGATTTTAAGGACATAGGCTACGAAGACCACGAATGGAGAGGTCGCACTTAGGGACGAGAACAACAAAAAGATTTGGTATTTACGGCAATGACAATTAGAGTTCTAAATACCAATTAATGATACTTATAAAAAGTATAAGCAATCATATGCTTATTGATTAAAATATTTTAATAGAATATAGACTTTTCAAACATCCCACATTTAAAAAAAAAACACGTAGAAACATGGAAGAAAAGTAGTTGTATCGTTTCATTTCATTGCAATCGTCAGCTACAATGACAAAGAAATATTATGAAAGVGAAAAAACARAATCATGTCTTTATATTCAAATAATCCATTACTTCCTTCATCAAGTAGATGTATGGCAATTCGAACATCAACGATACCATGTAAGAACAAATGTAAACAATTATTATGTATCCTACATATAAAATTCCCTGCAAAATAAAACAGAATAAAGTAGAGGAAAATAATTAATAATTCATTTAATCAATCTTTAAAATCCAAAAATAATAAAAAAATACATACGAAAGTTGAATAATTAATGTGTARAGAACTTTCACTTAAGAAAYTCATAGAACTTATAACAATTGGATTTAAAARAWAAGCTGCATAAGTCAATCTACTAAATGGTATCCAAACTTTMCAYGAAAGAATACTATTTACTATWCCTAAAATATAAATCGATTTAATTAATAATAATTGTTAAGTAATAGTGTCGAAATGAAGAATAGAATCAGATATTTATTTATACCTCCATTATTTGTACAACATGCTATTAATAGCCATGCAATACCAATTGCCCATACAGTTCTACTGAGAGCAACGTAAATAGCAGTAGTTAAAACTGACATTCTTCTCAAATATAATCCAAACAGTACTAATAAATTACATAAACTGGCCAGYATCGAAAAGAGTATTATTKTTTTCTAAAATCAGTTTTAWCAACATTAGTGTAAACATCAACATCATCAAGAAAATAATATGATAATGAAGTATTTGTAAGCGCTAAACGATCAGAATATTTGTTTACTCTTTTCCATAATAATTTGTTGTTTAATTTGACAACAATATACGCAGTCATCACACCCACTATGTAAGGTCCTATCCTGGTCCATGGTGRATAGTATAGTACGTCCGCTAAATTTATTTCCTTATCCATTCTGTAATACAATCCAACGTTAAATTAATCGATTACTTTGTTCATTAAAGGTTACTTTTGAGAAATTATCTATCTATATAAATTCGCTCGTAAATATTTATCTTCAAATAGATTAAAGACCATTACTGCAGTCATTTACGAAAATATTTAAACACTTGCAATGAAATATATTATTAATTATAATAGATATAGTATAGAATAATTATCAGCATATTATTATAACTGGTTGTGTGTACGAATCTCTAGATTATGAAGATAAAGTTTAAAGCGTTCCGAATATATGTTTAATTGTTATGCTTAAATGATGACAGTTACAATACTCAAAGTATGGAGTTTTATATAACTGAGCGTTACAGAAAAGTTAGTAAAGAGTATGCACAATTGTTAACAAGATTTTACTCGTTTCAAAGTTAGTCATATTAAATATTAAAAACTTCAAAAATATCTGTTCAGATACTTTATGCAACAATCCAAGCCATCTTTACGTTAGTAAGTAATAAATCCAAATTATTGAATATATATTGTTCGATTTGCCTAAAAATTTTCATGASTAATAAAAAAAGTTAAACCTTCAATCATTGTTAATATTATATTTATATGTGTTGTGTAATGAAGTTAATATAGTAAATAATATATTTCATAGCAAGTGTTCCAATGATTTCCTTAGTCACAGTAGTTAATGGAATAATATGGTCAACTAATGCGTAAGTCGCTATTAAAAAAGAGTTAGTGTCTTTAATACGCAAAGAAAGTATATATATTACTACAGAAAATTAGTACAAATCCCGATTTTGTTGAACATTAAATTAAATGTATTGTAAGTCTATAAAATGTCAAGCGAGTTTCATCCAATCTAAAAAATATGCTTAAGTTGACTGCGTTTAAAGTCGGATTATAGGTTACTCGAGTTTTCACAGCCAGTTTAATTAACAATAGTTTAAGATTCCACACTTCAGCATAAAACACAATTAACTAAAACCTATTTTACAGATTAAACGAAACCATTTTTGCATTCTGTAAAATAACAAAGCAATGTGTGAGATCCTTCTCATTACGTACAATATCCGTTTTAGGTAAACCTTCTATATAATGCTCGTAAAGTATACATTACCATATACATGAATAATTATTAATATTGATATTTACGTAGGAATAAAATTATAAATGTATGATATGTAGCCAGTAAGAATTATTGACGAGGTAAACAATATACCCAACAAACTAGCTGCTATTTTGAAGTACCTGAAATGCAATAATGCTTGATTAATTAAACTCTTTTTTAAGTTTCTTAATTTCTGCTGAATATAGATTTTTTAAGTAAAAACAATGTTTTATAAAAATTTAAAAAAGTTTACTTACGTTGAAGATAAAAATAACAGAAAATTTATTATGAGGAAGTACTGCATATCGTTCGCCAAGTACCAACTCCAACTCATACACTACAAGGATCGATGTCGATAATTAATATTATATCTATTATTCATTAAGAATACGAGAATTATAAAAATTGCTGTTATCGTAAGTCCATACCAAATCTTGTAGACTAAAAAGGTTGTGAATATAAAGGATATTTCTCCACCAATATTTTTGACAATTTTCGTGGTTACGTTCCGTTATGGGAAAGAGGGACGTTTTACTGTACCACGTTGCACTTATCTGCACTAATCCGATTAATACCATGAATGTAGGTGTCAATCTAAAATAGCAGAAGTAGCGAAAAAAAAGTAAGATATTCTAATTAATTATATTTCTTATTTTGAACCAATTTATGTAAGAAAACCATAAAGTTTTCTAGCACTTTTCTAGATTGACTAAAATTTTACAAGAAATTTGTGTTTGTGAAGTTTCTAATTTTAATTGATAGGTACAATTAAAATTTATTGAGWTTTTTTKYCCCKACCTTCATACTATAAAAATTCCTAGCAAAAAAGAATTTTCTAGGTTGATTTATACTTTCATTTCATTTTATAGAATACCGAACAATTCGTGAAAGTCATTCTCCTTTTACACATTACCTATTTAACGTAGAAACTCCACAGTATGCCCGGGATGGCATTGCTCAAATAATTCGAAAAAAACATATTATTTTCTCTTTGTTTTTATAGTCATTTTATTTAATATTAGCTTTTAAAAGTGTTATTTACCTATCCACACATATAAAGTTTTTCGAACAAAGAATTGTTTTTCTGAGCGATCAATATACGAGACATAATTGTTATTAATATATTTTGTAAAATAACAAAATTATACTTACCATGCTTAGATTTGAAAAACCTTATACATAAATATTTTCAATTCAATTATATTAGATATTTGACATTTATAAAAATGGTCTTACCTAATAAACCTTTTCAGGAGAACGATAAAATATAATTTTATTGTATTTAAATAATCATTCGGTTTACTTATATTCTTGCTCATGTCTTTTTTTACATACAAGTATGCGACTAGGAAACCACCAATATAAAAAAATGTATCAACTGCCAGYAWTCCTCCATTGTATAYTATTTGACCAAAAAATTCTTGTTTTTTTCTTATAGCAATTGACCGGTTTTCTTTTAATAAAAATAGAAAAATGAAGATAATGTTAATGCATAATATTAAATAAATTTAATTAAAATATCTTTTAAGAAAGTTTCTTAAATTCAATCTTAATAATTAAAAACTTTACCTACAAAATCCTTTGAAAAGTAAGATACATGAATTAAAATAATCATTATCATSGYAAAAAATCTTAATCCGTGTATAACCGGAATACCAGCATTCTCAGATTTCATATTAAATATTCTTTTCGTGTTTGAATATGCAGAAAAAGCTAAAAACATGTTCCAAAGAAAACTTTGGTATTTTAGTTTTTCCGGTTGATCAATGTTATTATCGTTTGGTGCTTGTGTGTCACCTAAAACGATAATTATTATGATAATAAATAATCAATGGTATTTTCTCAAGGGTTAACTATAATCTCACTTTATTATTGTTACTAATCACTTAAGGTCTCTTATAAACAAGAGGAACATACAGGAATCCATTATTAAATTCTAAGCAATAATAAAGTATAAACAAAAGATATTTTAAGGAATAATTCAAGCACAAAAGTATATTACAACAAAAGTGTTACAAATTATGAAATAAACTTACCTCTTGCTTGTAAATTGTCTCGGTCTTGAATATATTTGTAATGTTTCTTTAATTGTTTTTGATATATCAGAAGATCGTAAGCCGTTCCTATTATCATTAATAGTAATGTGAGTATGATTATTGCTCTAAACAGAAAACAACAACAACAAAATATAATTATATTGTATATATCTTGCGGGACTATCGTAAATTGTAGAAGAAATATTGATATACGTCATTGTAATAAATGTTCCACTTAATAACCATCGATGGTCATCGACTAGATCTCTTACTTCAACCAACGTAAARTCTGCTGAATATAATTCGCCTTTAAAAAGAGTTCTATTTCTCAACAAGATTTCTAGAAGAGTAGAAAGATGGTCCTTCGAACAGGATTCTGGTAAGCACATACCTAATATTATCAAATCCTATAAAGAAAAATTAAAAAATAAAATTAAATTTTTAAAATAACTTGTGTGTTTGTGTGTTTTATTCTTAATAGAAACTTACTTCTTCGGGCAATTCGAAGTGATATTGTAAAGTGCTATTATGTCGAAAATTAGCAACAAAAAATTTCACTTTGAATGGTGGAAATTCCTCCTCCATATGACGATATTTTGAATTGTTTCGTAATACATCTGGCGACAATTCATAGGGCTCTCTGTTTCCTGCATCTTCGCATTGACTTCTGCTACCCAACCAATAATTATTGCCATATATAAATCCTGATCTCGGTTCGCCGCTAGCATCGATTACTAAATAAAAAAAATAAAATACTAAAAAAATAATTTTTTTTAATAAATAGTTTCATTTCTGTAATCGTTATATTTTTGTATATATTCTATTTCGAATTTTTATACAAGTTATATTAGCAGTTACTTTTACTTAAAACATGGTCGAAATTTTATCCTAAATAAAAAAATTTATTTCTCGAAGTTGCCTATTGCGAATATTTATTATATTTTGATTAAAGTGATTCACCGACATCACATAAATGTAAACTTTATAAAGTTGAGTATTCATCTTTTTCAGCCAGCTACATTTTATTCTAAAATATGGGGCATTCAATGTCAAATCAACCACTTTGGATCTCGACCAATTTCGATTTAGCTAAAATTTTATTATCATTTCCAACTTCATTAGAAACCTTTTCGATAATGGTTTTAAACACTCGATGTAACGGTAAAGTTTTCGCATATTGATAACTACAATAAAGCTTCAGATTATCTAATTACCAGATTTTTAAAAATTAAAAGCATTGTAATAACTCCGCAATTCCATAGCCTTATACTAAACAATAATAGATGTTTTTTGTAAGAAATTATTCTTATTAAAAAAAATATACTGTTCGTAAATTAAAAAAGTAACCCTGGAAATCTGAATAAACTGTTAATTTTATCTACTTGAAAAATTGACCATTTCCGTCTTTTTGTAATCATAATTTTCAATAGTATATAGTTAAACTAAGGTTTTTAAGTATATTTAAAAATATTTATGTAGGAACGTTTTAAGTGTAAAAGAATAAACATAGATAAACGGGTAAGCGACGAAAGAATAAAGGACAAAGGAACAGATAGTCGAAATAAAGAAAGGCGGTTTAAGGTCCGTTCTTCGTAAATTGTTAAGTTGTGTGTGTGATTCTGTGTGAGCCTAGAAGGTTCTCGAGCGATATCGATGATTTGTTTAATGCATCGGACCGGACGTTTGAAAAATTCTAGAACGCTGCGGATGAATATAAAGGGACGCGGATTTAGGCAAAGCGCAGTCAGTAGTCAGTCGTTGTCAGGCAGTAATCAGTTGATCAGTCGTAACAGTCGCAGTTGTAATAGAAGTCGTCATCGGTCGCAAGTCATTATCAAGTTGTAAGAGTGGAGTTTCTTTTCTCACTTGTTTTCGCGTAAGATTGTGAAGCTACTATTGTACTTTTTTTAATACCTATTTTAAATATATCTTATCAATAGGATTAAACTGAGTGTATGTTAACGATTATAACGCCGATTAAGATGGGCTGGTCACGTAGCGCGCATGGGGAAGGATCGAGCGGCACATAAAATATTGGTCCATATACCAAACGGGAAAAAACTACTAGGTAGCCCGAGACGTAGATGGGAGGATAATATTAGAATGGACCTAAAAGAAATAGGATATGAAGACCGCGAATGAAAGGATCGCGTTCAAGGACAGGAACAATAGCGGGATTTAGTATTTGCGGCAGTGAACTGCTGAATTCCTAATGCCAGTTATTATTAATAATAATTATAATAATAGTAAAAATTTGAAAAATTTGAAATTATTTTCAAAAAAGTGTAATTTCTTAAAAAGTCTTAGTTCAGTTTTTACCAAGAAGATTTCGAACAAAGTTTCGCACGTGTTAAAAACGTAGAGATACTACACATAGAGCAAACAAGCCAGCATAAAACCTGTCAGCGAAATAAAAAGAAATAGAAGATAGGAGATTGATGTTGTCTCTCTCTAACTTGCGAACAATCGTACATCTAACGAGCTTCTACGATAAAAAAATAAAAAATAAAATAAAATAAAAATGCGCATATGCTGGTACCGCATGAGTTAGAGAGAGACAACATCAACCTTTCGTTTTTTGCTGCTATATTCATACACAGACATTTCCACTTACACAACCGCCTATGGTTTGTTTCCTTTATCTGTAATATCTCTATGGTTAAGAACCCCTTTTCTAGATAAATATCAAATATAATATAACTTTTTAAATAAATTAAACTTATTATTTGCTGTGTATAAAAGTGTTTCCCTTCATATTCCTATTCCTGCAATATTGTTCCTTCTTTGAAGTAAATAACAATACATACTCATATATACATCAATGCTTAATTAAAATAAGCATTCTAAAATCTCGTTTATAATTAGATGAATAATTATTTTCTACAATTAGTGATTAAAATATCTAATAAAAGATATTATTTCGTACTTTCTTATACCTTTCAAACTCCATAATTTTTGCTGATCAATGGCTTGTCGAAATTCAGTAAGTTCCTTTCCACATTGAGTTGAGTTTAAAAGTCCTGAGTTTGCTAACATTGCATAAACAGGCAACGTATGGATCTTCAATTCTTTCATTTGATTTGCTGTACAATAATTAAGAAAAAAGAGCAATCCTGCGAGTAATTTGAACCCTGGACGTGCCATTTTCACAATGTGATGTTGTTCTGTTGTACAATCGTTGAATTTTTTTTTAATTCATGTATAATAATTGTCAAAAAAATTCAATTTTTAGGCTACTTTCACTTATTTGAGTAGTATATCTTTTATTGTTACACTGAACAAAAATGTAAATATACAAAGTAATAACTACATAAATATTTAAAAGGAAAGAAACATGAAAAGAGAAGATGAACTAATGATATTACTTGAAACCATACTCGATTAATGATTTACGACGAACGTGAAAGAACTAAGTGAACTCGTTGAAAAGTTACCACACAACCCAAGCGAAAGAAAATTGCTGGAAAACTTCCTGATAAACAATGTCTTCTTTAAATCCATCTCTTCACTATCTATTAATCTACTTGTATAATATTATTGTAATTATATAAAAACMATTAATATTTAWATAWTAAKATAATTATTTCACAGAGTTATTGTTTATACCGAGATCAAAAWATATATATGAATATTTGAAGTTAAAAARAACATGACAAAAAAATAAAAGAATGATATTATTTGAAATTATACCTGATTATTATAACACGGCAAACGTGCAATATCTATAAGCGTTAATTGGAATATTATCACACCAATTAAAGCGAATGACTATCGTTGCTTGACTGCGTATCAAAAAAGGTCTTATTATTAATTTATCCCTCCTTGAATCACTGCCATCTCCACAAAATCCATAATAAATATCATTTTATATTACGACCTATATTCATTACGTCACTCACATTTATATCATGTTAAGAAATTTTTTTAGTTAATTGCTTTTTTTTACGACTTACATTATCATTATTTTTTTATATGAATTACTCATAGCTTTTTTAATCAATGAATATTTTATAAAGTAGAACTTCTTTTAGTATGAATGTTAAAAGAAATTTATTTCCTATTAAACAATCCTAGAAGTTTGTAGTTTATGTACAATTTTGTTAACAAATCTTATATTATAAATATATTGTTATATGTATGATTTATATTATAATAATATATAATTATATTTTTATTATATTTTTAATTATATTATTATATCATCATTATATTATATATCATCATATTATATATATACACCATTCATCATTCATCATTCATCATTCATCATTCATCATTCATCATTCATCATTCATCATTCATCATTCATCATTCATCATTCATCATCATCGTTAAAGACTCGTAAAAGCTAGTCTCTTTCAGAAAGATGATGAATGATTAATGATGAATAATGAATGATATAATAAAAAATATAAATCATAGATGCCCAGAGAACACAAGACCTTAAAATGATGTCATACGTATGTCATAAAGTCATCTTCAAATTTTTGAAGTGAAAAGTGACTTTACTTATGACCTCAAAATTAAGTCATATGTTCTGACATAAAAGCGACGCAATAATTCCATCATATTCTTACAGCAAAAAACGAATGGTTGAATTTTTTTTTTAAACTTTGTATTTTGAGACTATAAATTAAGTACATAATATTATAAAATTGTTTAATTGCATTAATTTAATTTAAGAAAAAATTAATTAAAAATATTTTTTCAATTAAATAATAAAAATAGGAAACTAACTCAGCTTACCCTGGGACTGGCGGGGATAATCGCAGATTTAGACAAAGTTTTTTTCTAGAAAATAAAAAAAAATGAAAAATGGCGAACTTCGAGAAAATAACGGTTTTTCTCAAAAAATACGAAAATTTCATGGATTTTATAATTTTGAAATTTTTTTGTATTTTTTTCTGAAAAGTACATTTAAAAACAAATATTTAAAAAAAAACGTTCTAATAGGTTGAATTTTAAAGAAGTTATAGCCATTTCAAAGAAAAGAGCCATATTTTTCAAAAATTAAAAATTTTTTTTAGGGTGTGGTAAAAAAATTTGAAATAATTCTGAAAATTGTTTTTCATAGGGTAGCATAGGATAAAAAACTTTCAGCCAAATCGAAAGGGGTCGGGGNTCATAGTGTGTCACTCCGGCGTGCCCGCCAACTTCGGTTACACTCGGCTTCTTTCGACATCCCAAACACACGGACATGGAAAACTTTCATTGTGTGCAATCCCAGTGGCACAGGGAGAGGGTAAGATTTACCCACGATCTGACAGCACTGAGAGACATTCATCCTATTTCTTCACCGGACGCCTACGACTACACATCTTCAAAGATTATAGAGGCTATATTGGACAAAGGCTTTAAAAATTCACAAAGGACAACGGAGAGATCACCTTAATCTTTAAGTCTTGCGAAGGCAAGCCTATTCGACGTAACAACCCTTCAGATTGTGATTGCTATATTTCAGGAGGGCGAGAGGTGAGATCTTTCCATTACATATTTCGCATCGACGGTATTTTACCGCGTGGTAACACCACGTGGTGGACTCTCATTGTTATAATTAAATATCATCAAGGGTTTTTATGCCGCAAGGATTTTCCTTGACGAGCCAATAAAAAAAGGCATTGTTTCTTTGTTTGGCTCAATCACGTGTTTTATTTTACCCCTTAACCTAATCCTTTATTCTCCACTTCATGACATACAACTAATTATCAGAGGACTTTGCATTGAAGAATCTTTTGGTCACAACAAGTAATATTATCAAATTAAAAAATCGAATCAGATATTTATTTATACCTCCATTATTTGTAGAACATGTTATAATTATCCATGCTATGCCAATTGCCCATACTGTTCTGCTGAGACCAATGTAAAAAGCAGCAGTTAAACCTGATATTTTGTTCAGATATAATCCAAAAAGTACCAATATATTGCACAAACTGCCGAGTATCCAAAATAATAATATCGTTTTCTAAAATAAATAATTAACATTAAGTAAACATTAATATCATCCATAAGCATATGTAAAGATAAAAAATTGTTGAAAAAGTAAACGGTTAGTTTAATCTGTTTACCTTATTCCAATATAATTTATTGTTTAATTTAACAACAATATATGCAGTAATCACACCAACGAAATAAGGTCCTATTCTAACCAATGGTAAATAGTACTTTATACTTGCAGTACTGAATTGTCTGTCGTATCTATAATTCAATAAAACGTTAATTTATTTGATTATATAACACTTTCATTACAGTGTACTTGGACAAGAGGATCATTCTATTAAAATTCGTTTGTACAAATTAATTGCTGAAAAGTACTATTATTTGATCGACCAGTTGTATTACTAATTATTACATGGAAAAATAATATGTAAGACGCTAGTAATGAAAGTGTTCAATWTAATGTTWGTATGATAATTAATATTCATATTTACGTTGAAACCCAATCATAAATGTAGACTATAACGCCAGTTAGGATTATCGATGAAGTAAATAACAGACACATCAAACCGGCTGATACTTTGAAGTACCTGAAATAAAATTATGTTATCTAAAGTTTTTGTTTATGCTTTCTAATTTTATTCTATATAGAAATATGTTAATTATAAAGTAAGGATATTTACATTGAAGATAAGAATAACAGGAAAATTGAAATCATGTAGTATTGCATGTCGGCTGCTAAGTACCAACTCCAATTCATACACTACAAAGATTAATATTGATCAAAAATATGTTAAACTTAATATTATTTAATTTATACTATAAAATTATTGAAATTGTTCATACCATATCCTGCAAACTAAATAAATTTTGAATATAAAGAAGATTTCTCCACCAATATTTTTGACAATTTTTGTGGTTACGTTCCGTTATGGAAATGAGGAAAGTTTTACTGTACTACGTTGTATTTATTTGCAAAATTCCGATAAATATCATGAAAGTAGGTGTCAATCTAAAATAGGAGAAGTAGCGAAAAATAAATAAGATAGATTGAAATTATTATATTTTTAATTTTGTGTAATACTAAAYTCTTGATATTCAGTTTCTAACAATTCYATTTGGTAAACATATTCTCTAATTTTTAATTTTGGTGGTTAMAAAAAATATTAGAAATATTAACGGGAAATAAATATTGACAACTTCCAAAATGAGAAAAGCTTTCTATTCTATTTGTTTTCGTTAAACTAGTAATTTTTATTTGAAAATGTTAATATTATCAAACAGTGTTTTAATAAAATAATTTATTTGTTGAGGTTTATGATAGAGGAAGACTTGTCATGTTAAATCAGAATGCCATTTTCTGCAATTCCCTGTAGCAGGTATATTTTATTTCTTTTTTTATATCAATATTTTTTTGCTGCTTTATGTTATTGTCAACCTATATACAGATCTTCAAAACAAAGGATCATATTTACTAACGACTAATATACAGGTTAAAAAAAATATTATTATTATTGATATAACGAAATTTCTCTTATCATTTTTATACTTAACAAACTTGTGTATAAATTATTCCTGATATTTTAAAAAATTTAGCATTAACAAAAATTGTCACCTCAAAATTTAAACTTTCCAGAATACTGAAAATTAACTACTACTTTAAATTTAAAAATAAAGAGGATTAAATGTTCTCTTGAATAGCTGGGCATAGTTGTAATAATTTGTAGACAAACCTTTTCTGAAAAAAAAAATTTATAAAAAAAATACAATTTCGGTTTTTATATTATTGTTTCTTCCTTAAAGAAAGTAACCAAACATACTCATATATATACATATGCTTGAATAAAATTATCATTCTAAAAATCTCGTTTATAATAAAATGAATTATTATCTTCCACAATAATATTTAAAATCTCTAGTAATAGAAATTATTTTTCATTACTTTCACTTACCTTTTAAGCTCCATAATATGTGCTGATCAACGGCTTGTCGAAATTCAATAAGTTCCTTGCTACATTGAGTTGAGTTTAAAAGTTCTGCGTTTGCTAACATTGCATAAACTGACAATGTATGTGTCTTCCATTCTTTCGTTCCATTTGCTGAACAAAAATTAATAAACATAATAAATGCTTCAAAATACTCTAGCAATTGAAACCCTGAACGTGCCATTTTCACTGTGTGATGTTGTTCTTGTTACATTCGTTGTATGTCTTTTACTCCTATATAATACTGGTCGAAATAATTTTATTTTCCCTACGCTAGTTGTTTTGAAAAATATCAATTTTGATGTTAATATGAAATTTATGTTCTAGTCTAAAAATGTGGATTTTTAGTTCG